CATGAACACTTTTGACTAAATTCCGATTCAGCTCGTCAAGCTGTCCTGTGATGTTATCCCTTTCACTGAGTGCTCGACGTTGTACAGTTGTGGTGGTAATACAAAGCCGGCTTCATTGCAGAAACTTGTAGGTTTTAGGGAATTGACAGTTTTCATCGATGAAACGAATTTGTTGCTGTCGCCGCACGAGCGGACGTTTTTCTGAACGAGTCTGCAAGCAACACACGGCCTGACTGAATGATGGGGTGGTTAGAACTATCAACAGTTCGATCGTTTTACATCTAGTGGAATCAAACCACGTGATTGATGTAACCGAGGCGTTTCCACCGCTCTACTTGGTCCGCCGTCGTCAATCTAAGGGAATTAAGAGTCGCATTACGGCCACAGCGGAAGCTATCGGAATCCGTCCCCATATGCTCCCAATAATAACGCTCGGTCTTCCATGGCCAACATCACACACGAAACAGCCGTCCGCCCTAATGACCCGATTCAATGCGTATGTGTGATGACCAAAGTGTGAGCAACATACGGTCATGGAACTGGAGTATTGATTGTTTCTCTTCCCATTTTGCCATGTTTTTTCTCTCCCTCTCCGTTTGTGACATAAATTGTAATGTGTTAGCCTGTAAATGAATCACCACAACCGAGCTTGTTCGTTACTGTGTGTTGTTCTTACAATGTGTAATGATGGTTTATTCGGACAGGTAAAACAAGCTAAAAATCCATTAGTACTCAAGGGTATTAACTACTGTGTGAAGTTCCGTACAAAGTCAGCTGTGGCGCAAGCATGTGTTCGTTTGATCAATGAATGTGTTGAAAACTGCCAATTCCCTAAAACCTACAAGTTTCTGCGATGAAGCCGGATTTGTATTACCAACGCAACTGTACAACATCGTGCTCTTAGTGAAAGGGACAATATCACAGGACAGCTTGACGAGCTGAATCGGAATTTAGTCAGAAGTGTTCATGTGCTTGAAGTATTGTCATCCAAAGAACACAGACGTCTAGACCGTTTTGTGCAATCGATCGAAGACAAACAGGTGGAACGTAAACGTCAAACACTACAGAAACTGATTGATCCCACGAAGCACGCTAGTGAATTCCCAATCAAACCCCGAGCAATATTATCTTTTTGTTACCAATGTAGCACTGCCATAGATATCACTGAGGCAACAAATTTGTGTGAGGTCTATGTTTAAGAATCAAATCACACAGATTTACAGAAACCGGAAGGAAAATATGATCATAGAGAATCAAGTAACCCAAAATACAATCTCAACGAGACACTACGAAAGACATACCTTCCAATAGTTGAGGAACAGTTGAAGCGCCACCCGTACGAACGTTTGGAATAATCTGAAATGTAATTGTCCAATTATGCGTCATACGAATAAATCATCCATCGGTTTAGGATCAACAATAACAACAACAAAAAACTTGAAAATTAAAGTTTTGGTCAGCAAAATAAGAACACCACTCCAGCAGAACGAGTTACACCCCCGATTAATAACTGTGCTTACAATTCCCGGGAGCACAACGAGGTGCAGTCGGACAATTTGATTTTCCTGAACAACATTCAATCAGCCCAAACTGATAGGCATGAACGACGCTCACGCAGGTCAGATTAACTCTATTCCCTATGCATGTGCGGGAGCGGTCTGCAAGTTCGCAGGCTATCGGTTTGTGTAAACCCAAACAGTTGGCCATTTGTAGACCGGAAACATAAAGCAAACGAAGCTATACGGTTTCCAAGTGGGTGAAACTATACGAAGAAATCGGTACAGGACATCACTACTTTCGAGCTATTTTCCAAGGTCCGTCCCCAAACAGTATATAAACAGATCAGTTGTCCGCTATTTCTGCCTTTTACGGTCCAGCGAAATATACAACCTCGTCTGAAGGCCTGTCTTCCGTGTTCACTCCGGTCGGATACGGGGATTGCACTGATCCCGTGGGGCGTTTTCTTCCGATCCTGCTGGGACTTCCCTTGGGCACCACAGTCGGGCTCACCCGTGTACTGTAGGCTATTCCACAGGTTCGTACGGTTCTGTTCGTGGTCACTACTGCTGCACGTATGGTTGGGTCACGGCTCGTGCTAGTCCAGTCGTATCGTCCATTCCAACGTTAGAACAACATCTCATGATATTAACTGATCAATTGAAGGTAGTTATGGAGGAGGAATGTAGAAGTGAAAAATAGGTTTCACATGGGAGTAGCAAAACGTAACAAACGGAGTAGAAAAGCTTTTCCTGAGCATAAAATCACATTCAAAGTTTCAGGTATTACCTGTGCCGAACGTAAGGCCTCAGCTTGACGTTTGGCGGCATCAAGAGACCAAGATTTCACGTACTCCATCAGTGCTCTCGACTCTGACGGAATTTGAGCGCTGGATACTTCTGGTGCGGAATAGATTACCTGGGAACGTCCGGCATTCGGCAGAGAAAACTGCCGAGCGCAAGGTAACTTGAACATAGGACTGGGAAATAGTGATGGATCTGCCGAGGTTGGTAAGGGAAGATATTGGTCCAGCGGTACACGGAGTTGTGACTCCTCAGAGCCACATTGATCCATCAATGTCATCTGGGCAGGTACATTCGAAACGCCTGTCAGGGCATCGGGATAACAAATGAATTCATTTTAATAGCTTGAAAGAATTTAAAGAATTTTCAACAGGGGTGTCTCATTTACGCCGAATGCATCAATTTCTTGCTGTTCAGTTGAACACACACCAAAACTGAGACCCAAGAGGATATCAGGATGTGATTAGTAATCCTTGGATAGGGACAAAAACAATAAGAGCAAATAGGTGAACTGTGTTGTATGAATTATTATGCATGTGTGTGTCGCGGGCGACAGTCGAAGACAAATAAGCAAACTCCAGAGGATTTAAGATTACACACACACAAATCATGTGCAGTGCTTGGTGTGCGTGAACAACCTTGGGCTAATTGTAATGTCCGGAATAGTATACGGAATCTTAACAATCGTCTGACGTACGATCAAATTCAGTCCACGGATTTTCTATTCAATATGTGAAAGAAAACAGGATAAGGGTTTTCCTTTGCAGGGGAATCATGCATTCGGTTTATCGCTGTTAGTGGCAAGGAGTCGATAAAAATGTGTTTTGAAAAACGGTCCCATGGAAACTAAATCTACTCTACCATAGTCTATGAGACAAAAGGATCTAGGACACCATAGTGTGCTGAGAACCTCTTTAATCGGTAGAAAACTTTGCTTCATTCACAACGTAAGCACAAATTCGACTTTAACAACAGTACTTTTCTTAATCTTAAAGTACTGCAGTTTATCGATGTAGAATTATGAACAGCTAAACTCAGAACTATAGCCAGTTGTCAATTGGGGCCAAGAGTTTAGAGTACGTTACACGGAAAGTGAGACTAGAGGAATTGAATCATCTAACGAAAAAAGACTAAATAATGTGCCATAGTAATGCGGATAAAAGTATCAATACGCCGTATCAATGCATTGGTTTGTTAAGTGACCTCATTCAAGACTGAAACAGAACAGCACGATGTGCCATTGATTTATAGGTGGCGAATAGCTCCAAACATATAGAAAGTTTCATGCGTACCAGGAGAATCCAGGGGCCCGAAAAGACTTTGTGTCGGAACATAGCCAACATTGACCTCACTGGTTTCAGCATAAGGGGCGGGTTGAGATGCACTGTGATCACCGGTATCTTGGTTCACGATACTGGATATAGTTGCTGCGAGAAACGATTCGTGCGGTTGTGTGTACGCAGATCGATGCTTTCTGGTCATACTCGTTGGGGTTATCAGACCGAAAACCTGCGAGTAGTAATGTGCACACATATGCAAAGTGGAAAATGATGGGCAATATGCGGAAAAGGATTAACTGAAATGAGCACTGCTCGATGATGTTACATAACAGCTTTCTGAAAGCTTCATTGTCCCGGGCTGGCTTTCTCCATTCCGTATTTAGTGTTGGGGGCTGGGCAAGAGGTGGTCGTTTTCATGGAATGTCTAAGCTTTACATAACAGAAACATAACTATTGATCCAGAAAATTCACACTCCATCATACGGTATGTTGCATAAAACTCATGTTATTGACGGATAAACCCTCGGTCGCGAAGACCTGTGAGAACCGGCCACGTAGGCCGTGGTGAACCACTGAAGACCACAAAAGGACAGACGTGAGACCCAATCATTTTAATTCTTTTTAAATTTCGTAATACCTGTTTCAGGTATGTGGTTTAGTATACCACACATCACTTGCCTGGGTGCAACTCATAAGAATGTCAGAGTATGTACACTTTCTTTCATTTTGATCTTATTGGTTATGTTCGTATAACGATACAAGTAATTTTCAGGAATGAAGAAGCGGCTAACCAAAGGGATAGCACACAACACTCATCCTCCGAGAGACAAGTTGATGATATTAATCGATGGACCACCGCCTCTGGGTCATTATTTAAGTTATGAGATACTACTCACCTTTGTGAGTAGTACACAAAATAATGCGGTTAGCGTTCTCTCAACGGTCAAAAATGAACTAGAACAATTAGGGAGAACTGTTATGCTACAAATAATAACTACGGAATGTTTCATTCAGTAACCGGTGTGCTGTCGAGAATTGTGATGGCATGTTTAAAATGATATCTTGTATATACGTATACCACCTTGTCGATATCCTAACTATAATCTGCAATAAGCAACTTCCTCGACTAGGCACCATCTCGTGGAATTATAACACTTGCAAATGAGAAAATAGGGACAGTTGTAAGAAAAACACACGGTAGCAAACAAGCTCGTTTGCTGCGATTTATCNTCTACGGGTTATAACATCGCAATTTATGTCAAAATGTTTAGCAGGAGGAAATCACGACAAAACAGAAAGAAGCGATTACAATGTTAGTTCCATGACCAGATGGTACCCACACCGGGAACATCACACACACACACACACACACAAGCATTGATTCGGGTCATTGGGAGCGACTTAACGGATTAAGCGTGGTATCACTCCACGTCAGTTACCTCTTCATAAAGGTTCCCGTTGTTGAAACTATTGAATATATACATATGTAAGCACATGTAAAGCAACTATTGTGAAATCGGAATACCAGTCAGGGTTCTCAAACAACTGCCATGTCTTTGCACACAACATATCCTTCAAATTCAACGATGAAGTTTAGAGCCAAATAAATGGGGTAGCTGTAGGGTCTCTCCTTAGCTCACTTTTCGCAGATGTCTTCGTGGTTAGGAAGAATGATATCCTCAAACGAACGAACGATCGTTTTACATTATCCAAGCGATCTGTTTATGACATTTTGGGTTCTATCGATGACAATGTGAATCTGTTCAGACATCTGGAACTATTTAACGTCTAAACATAAAGTTCCCTGTACCAAAAGATGGGTAGATCGCATTTCTGGGAGCTCTATCATGTCGTTGTTCAGCTGAAACTATTCAGTGCACCATCCACCGGAAGCCATCGTAAAATGATCACTACATCCATTTGAAGCGCTGTGCCAATGAAACGAAAATGAAACCTGATTCCATACCCCACTACCAGGGTGTGTATGTACAGACGATACCATTAGGAGTGAACTGAGATTAATTCCCGAGGATATCCTGCATTACAAATATCTAAAGCAATTCCTGGACATCAATTCGAGGCGTTATCGATTGCCAAATAAGATCACCGCCGTTGGAAAGAAACCGACTATTGCCACCTTTTAACGAAAGTACAACTGAAGAGATGACGACATGTAAACTGAATCTAGCTGTGGAGGAAGCATTTATCGCAGCGAAGCTTCGTATTAAGTTAATCTCCAGGCCACTCTTGCAATTTCGACTCAAAGGTAGTTGACTCTTTCTGCGAGTACTTATTTTCCTGTTCCTGTGAGATAATGTATGTTCGTTGTACGATCAGAAGTTTATCTGAACGAGTCCTTCATCGAACCCGTTGAAAATATACTTGACTTTCAGAACTTTTAAAAACAATATGACATGAAAACAGTATTCGAATAGTCAATGATGTCTAAGTGCTGCCTAAGTTT